ACCTTACGAGATGGACCAAAATAATGTACCACGTAATTACATATCTTACAAAGATCTTACAAAGATAAAAAAGTCCCCAATGGTATATATCTATCTTCTAAGGATGAGTCATAGTAACCATTTTTATCTTTTAAATGTTCCGAAAAAATAATGGTTTATTTACGAAGCTATTTTAAACAATACATTATTATTCCTTATTCAATTAAATACGTTAGATACGTTGTGCATTTACTGTAGATTAAAATTGGTCTGTACCGCATATCATTTAAACGAAATATTAGAGGTTTAAAATGCAGGGGCTCAACGACCGTTGAGCCGTGGGCCCGTCGCGGGGGGCAGCAGCTGTCAGGATCGGAGCGAGCTCATAAATAATGAATTTAAAGATGTCCCGTAGTATAGTCCCATCATAGTAATAGTATTATTAACTACTCCACACTGTCACCCCATTAGTAGTATCTACATTGCAGCCGTGCGAAGCCGGGGCGGATTGCTAGTTATAGATAAATTACACCTTGCGGAGATCCCCTCGGATACCACTTACCGGTGGCAATGTCGGACTCGACCCAACTAAAACCGCACGGGGTCTCAGGTAATAGTAGTCGGGGAACCAGGAGTACCCTAGAAAGGAAATCCCTGGTGCCCCGACGTACCTCGGACCATCTACGGCGGGTATACGACCCCCCCCCCCCCCCCTGTAGATAAATTACACCTATTACGTTGCATTGCTGAAGGAATATTTCCTCGTATATGGCGGTGCGGTAATATTCGTATAATACCAAAAAGTGGCGACAAGCCACCGGATGATCCTAAATCCTACCGACCAATCACATTGTTACCATCGTTAGGAAAGCTTTTAGAACGTCTTGTAGTGCCCCGGCTTCTGCCAGGTGGAGTCAAATTTCATGATAGACAATTTGGATTTACGTTGGGTAAATCGACAACTGACGCTGTTATATCGGTTAGAAAGTTTGTCACAGAGTCAAAATTTCAATACGTGCTGGCTATTTTCTTAGATATATCTGGCGCCTTCGACAACGCATGGTGGCCCATGCTGTTGCTGAAATTAAAATCACGGGGGTGTTTTAAAAATATTTATTCCCTTATCTCTTCGTACTTTTCACAAGGTACAACTAAACTAAGACTTGGTCATCATTCTGTGTTGAAGGCGCTTACAATGGGATGTCCTCAGGGATCGGTGCTAGGTCCATACTTGTGGAATATCGGCTTCGACGATTTTCTTACGATACCAATACCATCCGGATGTACTCTGAACGCGTATGCTGATGACGGCTTATTACTGGTGGAATCTGATACTAGGGCGGGGCTTGAGAGATTAGCCAATAGATGTTTGAACTTGATATCTCAATGGGGTGAACGTAATCGCTTAACTTTTGCACCCAACAAAACCTTCCAGTTACTTTTAAAAGGTAACCTCAAATCACCGCCGAGCATTAGATTTGACAATGTTACTGTAAAAAATAAAACCACAGTGTGTTATCTAGGATTAGTTTTAGAAAGAAACTTTTCATTTATCGAACATATTAAAATAGTTAATGAAAAGTCTAAAAAGAGTTTCTGTGCATTGACAAGGATATCAACTGCGACATGGGGTCTATCATTTAATACATTAAAGATCATATACGGAGCTACTTATTTAGGTTCTATGTGCTATGGTGCACCTGTATGGGCCGATAGGGCGACCGTAGGCGCTGTCCGTCGCAAACTGTTACAAGGCCAACGACTTGCACTGATATTTTGTGCAAGGCATATAGGACGGTTAGCACTGAGGCTTTGCCGGTGTTGGCGGGTGTCCTTCCGGTCGATCTCGAGGTGCAGAGACGTGCAGCCATGTACTATTCAAGACAAAACATGGAATGCGATTTCTTGGGCGCGCGGGATCGCGGTAAAATTACAAGATTGCTTCAACAGCAGTCCGATGTCTATAATGACCTCATAGACGAATGGCAGCAACGCTGGGACGAATCATCCAAGGGGCGCCATCTTTACCAATTTTTTCCATCTGTTCGCGAACGGTTGTCGAGGACATGGCTTGAGGTGGATCACTGTGTCGCTCAATTTCTTACGGGTCATGGTAACTTTAAGAGCAAGTTGTATTCATTTAAATTAGTCGAGTCACCATTGTGTCAATGCTCAACACCTAACTCTCATTATGAACAGTCTGCTCATCATATCCTCTGGGAATGTAGTCTTTGGTATAATGAACGTAATATAATGCTGAATAGCTTGCAGGTGACATCTGGGGCGGTATACTATGGGGATCTTGTGTCAACTAGGGTGAATTTCCGTGCGTTTAGGCGATTCTGCCATACATATTATAGAAATCAAATATAGCTCATGTAGGACCCGTAATATTTTGTGGCCGTGGTGCTTCCCTGTTTAAAAGGGTGTATGCCTATTTTACTTCATTTTGTCTCCCGCTTTGCTAAGGAGGGAAGTGGATTTACTGTATTTCCAACTCCTCCAATTTTCTTCTGATTAATTTCGTTGCGGGTTCCAAGACAGTTTAATTTCTTCCTGGGACTTCCCGAGTGTCATAACTCGGTGTGTTCGTGGGTCACTGCTGTGGATCCTGGTGTACAGGAGTTACAGTGGTGGGCGTGTGGGTGGGATTAGTCCCAATAAAAAATAAAAAAAAAAATAAAAAAATTACACCTAGACAGAATAGAATGATCGTTTTCATCACACGAATGGATTCGATTCCGTGCTGGTCATGAATATGATCATTTCTTGTGTTGACCCACGATCTCCAGCCAAGCATTCAGAACCACAAGACCAAAAAGACAGTAATTATTCAAATGAAATATTCACTTCGCCCAATTGTTCTAATTTTAGAGCAAAAAATACAGTCACAAACACGCCTTTATTCCCCAATAAGAGAGAGAGAAATGCCCACAAATGTAACTTTAGTCCTACTTACGTGATAAGGTGCTGTCCACCAGCACTTTAGGAGTTTAATTTGAACCGAAAAGTAGTAGAGAAAAATCCTTTGAAAAAAAGTTAAAACCGACTTGAAACATTACTAATAAAGAGCACTAAAAATAAAAATAAAATTACAAATCTAATGAAAAAAAAAATTCGACCCTCAATATAATAGCAATAAATACATTCTAGTCTGTTTGGAGTCTAAATCAAAATCGAAATGAAAACCTTTTGTGTTTTTGGAGTCGTTTAAAAAGTTAATTTATACTAGGAAAAAAGAAGGATATTGTTTATGCGGACTGATGAGGGAGTGTTTAGTAAACTCGAATAGTTAAAAAAATTGTATTAAAATAAACTAGATTTTATAAAATAAACAAAGGACAGACAGAAACTTTACATTCTTATTAGGGTTTTGTCATTATTACGTTACGTCAGTTTCTGTTAATAATTAAAAATGTTCATAAAATAAAAACTACTGGGCCTAACTATGTTAAATTTTTATGGAAGCAAATGGCAACTATTCCGCATCAAACTAAAGAAGAATCACGTAAATCGGATCATAAATCTCAGAGTAATTGGTGTGCATACATAAAAAAAAATACCAATCGAATTGAGAACCTCCTCCTTTTTGAAGTCGGTTGACAAATTAAACAGAGATTTCTAAACAAACAATAACAAAAATCTTTTTCACTATAAATGTTATGACCTAATACTTTCACAAACATATAAAGTAGTTTGATAATTATCAGATTTAGGGAAACCTTATCATATCGTATCAAAGTTGTTCCACTATACTTTATTTTTATCTGCTTTTAATCCCTAAAAACCAAACACACAACACAACAAAGATAAAAAAAATCAGGACAATTAGTCTAATCCCTTTTGTATTCGAGTTTTTATGACAAAGAACGCCACTTTAACCTTAATATCAGAACCTACAAAAAAAATACTATATTTTATCTATATATACGTCCGTACGTATGTATATATAGGGGCCCAGTATATGTTGACCTGTCATGGTACAAAATTATGGTCAACGAAATAGTAGCGTTCGAAATTCGATTGCCAGGAGATCCTTGCCAGGCGATAGTAGGCCAAAACCTCTTTTCTAAGGAGAGGCCTATGTCCAGCAGTGGACTGTCAAAGGCTGTTGATGATGAGGCGATCTTTAGTATTTTAAATTGTCTACTACAAATACCATTACCACCACCTCCTAAACATGATCTTTCTTATAGTCACATTCCATCACCAGCCTGCTCTTTCCCCCTCCCATCCCTTTCTCCTATTTCAGACGGTGTCGACTGGATGACATGACCACACTTGGAGTTGTTTTAGAGCAGCATGTACCATTTTTGGTCTGACTTTTATTTGGATATTGAAAACATACACTAACTGATGATAAAATCACATGTGTAATGAATCAGATGACAAATCATCATCAGTCCAGCCATAGTTCCATTTTATTTGGGAGTGGCGCAGTGTACCTACTCATTCAAATGGATTAGGACTAGTTTCAATTTAGTTAACCTATATCTACTATCTATATCTATATCTGAATACCATGTCATCATCATCATCATCAACAGCCTTTGCTAGTCCACTGCTGGACATAAGCCTCTCCTTAGAAAGGAGGTTTTGGCCTACTGTACCACGCTGGCCAGACGGGTTGGTATAGGGTTTGTTTCAAGTTTTCCTTCTCTTTGCAGTGCTGTTATCTTGCGTAGTCTACTCCCTTAGTCGGCTCTTACGACACCCACGGGATGATGAGGGGTGGTGACACTCTGTATTCTTAATCCGTCACTACACAGATAGAAGAATACCATGTATAGATTCTAATTTATTTAAGCAGTATGCTGTGTGTGTGAGCAGGAGGTTAACTTTGGTACTGAGGGTCTGAACCAATTACCACTAAATCGCAAATCCAGCTTGGGAATATCGCTGCCTCCATGTGTGTGATAATTATTATACCATAACAGCATATTGAACATGTAGTAACAAAACAAGAGTAACTGCAGCTAAAGTGTCTAATTTCTCATTAGCGATGCTCTCCTTTCTTTCAGATGCGTCATCCCAGAGTGCGAGCGAGGAGATGTTCACTTCGACAATGAACTCGCTGTGGCTCTGCTACCGAACAACTCTCAATGCCAACGGTACTTGCCGCTCCAAGACGACGACGCCCAGTGCGAAAGAGAACACTTTCATTCAGTCAAGACCGTCACCTGTCAGAAGTTCGTCTATGAAAACTATAACACTGTCTTTGCTGAGGTAAGAATGATCTCTATCTTTATAGAATCTTTATATATTGACTGCACGGATGGCGTAGTGGTTTAAGCGGTCGCCACGCCGCTTCCTATTACGCTGAGTGTTATGGGTTCAAACCTCACATGGGACAACACTTTGTGTGATTCACAAATTGTTGTTCTGAGTCTGGGTGTTCTTTGTGTCCGTTTCATGTATGTTTGTAAAGTCCCCCGTGACATAGGATATATTCCTAGTGCGGGAGTTGTCTTAAAAAAAACAACATATGCCTCTAAGTACTGTAGAAGCTTCAAGAAAAATATAATCATCTACAATCATCATTTATTTAATGTTTTTTCTGCAATTTGAGTACTTTTTTTCTATTTGAAATATGCGAGACTCCTTCTCGAGCTACAATAGACTATTTACAACTGTAAGTTAAATAGGAGTAGATTTTGTCTTCCAGACTTTAAGCTGCACGGATTGTGTAGTATTTTAAGCGGTTGCCACGCCGCTTTCTAACTGCGTTGAGTGTTGTGGGTTCGATTTCCAAATGGGACACCACTTTGTGTAATCCACAAATCGTTGTTCTGAGTCTGGGTATTCTTTGCGTCCATTTCATGTATGCTTGTAAAGTCCCAAGTGATACAATATTTGGCAGGATATATGTATATTCCTAATGCAGGAGATGTCTTTTAAAAAAAAAAGAAAGAAAACGAAGCTCTTTAAGTGCCATTAAACAATGAATTTAGTTCCGTTGGGTGCGCATTTATTTAAACTTTAATTTTTAAGTCCTATTATCGGACGGTGGTGATTCGTGTGGTGACGGATTAAGAATACGGAGTGTCACCACCCCTATTCATCCCGTGGGTGTCGTAAGAGACGACTAAGGGAGCAAACTACGCAGGACAAAAACACTGCAAAGAGAAGGAAAACTTGAGACAACCCCTATACCAACCCGTCTGGCCAGCGTGGTATAGTAGACCAAAACCTCCTTTCTAAGGAGAGGCCTATGTCCAGCAGTGGACTAGCAAAGGCTGTTGATGATTATCGGAAGTCCGAAAATATTTCTCATATCATTTTACATCATAATGATTACTCTTCATAAAAAAAAAGTAATACTATCGATCGAAACTCTTAATCATTCTAATACATAACTCCAATATCCATAAATTTAAGATAAATTTCATCGTCTTGCAGAAATATATTAACGGTATAAGGATACTATTGCACAGATTGGTGTTTAGAGGCAACTGACCAAAAATCTATCCATTATTTGCAGTCTATTTTTAAATGTGGTGCGCATAAACTGACGAAAAAGTTCAGTTCATGGCCGCATTGTAAAGGACCAGCATTGGGCTTAAAATTAATCGGGTGGTAATAAAAAAAACCACGAACCTAAGCAACCAAAACGTCACGCTTAAATCTTTTAAACTACGCAACAGATTGTAATGCTGTTTTCACTAATAAAGAGAGCTATTCAAGAGGCGGGTTTATATGTATAATACATGCATATTATAGTCCGAGAATTTCAAAGATTTGTAATTTGAAGTTGTAATTTTTGCTGGCTAAACCTAACGAGCTAGATCAAAACAATATACTACAGAATTGTATCTTCTTAAAAAGATCTACAAAAAAGTCCGCGATGTTACCTATATGTCACGGTCCTAAAGAGAACCCACTGTAACCAAAAAATGGGTTATTTACAAAGCTATTTTGAACAATACAGTATTATTCCTTTTAAATACTTGTGCATTTGTTGTAGATCAAAATTGCCCTTTATAGCATCTCATTATGATGAATATCTTAGGAGATATCAGAGATTGTAAATGCGGCGCAAAGCAGCTGTCGTCGGGCCGTACGCCCGTCCCGGATGGTAGCGGCCGGCAGGAGCGCAGCGAACCTATAAATATTTACTGTAATAATATTTACACCACTTTTAGTACTATCTATATTGCACTCGTGCGAAGCCGGGGCGGATCGCTAGTATTCTATATAATTAAGTAAAACCAAATTGATCTTTTTTATGGTAGAGAGGGCAAACGATCTGACGGTTCACCTGATGGTTAATGACAACCACCCATGGACATCTGCAACTCAAGAGGCAGTAGGGGGTTGCTGTATTTGAGTCCCCCCCCCCCACAGAGTCAGGAGGAGGTTGGGGTTCCGTCGGGGTTTCAGGGTGGTATCCGAGGGGATTTCCACACAGAAATAAAAGGGAGAGGAGGGGGTTTGGGCTCCGGTAACCTCACACCTTCAGTGAAAAGTTAAAAGTCAAACTTTTTCAAAGCAATTGCGTCTTTTATTAGAAAGATAAGTTTGAATGATTATGATTTTAGAAGATGTTTACTTTTGTGTTCCAGTTCGACCTTGGATGTCGTGAATGGTTACGAACTATGGTGGGCACGGTGCGCAATGCAGCCCTCCCACTGTCCCTCATCCTCACCGGGTACACCTCAGACACGTAAGTTTCATCTTTTTCTATATTTATATAAAAATGTTAAGTTTGTTTGTTTACGCTTTAAAACTCAAAAAGTTCTGCACCGATTGAGCTCAAACTTTGGCTCGATATACAACCCGCTTTAAAGATTGTGTTCACCTATTTTTCGTATCAGTTTTGTTCCTAATTTCTCATCAATGCAACCGCAATATGTCACAGCAAAGTTTGGGTACAGCTTATATCTTATAAGATTCTTTTCATCTAGATACCAAATTATTTTCTTCAAACAGTCGTATTTGCAGACTAATATCTGCCTACACAGCCTATGCGAGGACAAGGTTGGGCATCTGCTCCACCTTGGATGCTATAATCGGTATTCGAACATTCTATTTTTTAACAAAAGTTTTTTCCAAAAAGAAATTTAACCATTAATTTTGCCCATCCCTTTACCTATCAAATTTCCAAATTATACAGGTTAAGAACATATGTTAGTCTTATCTTTTTCTTCCATCCCTTCAGCACCGTTATTTCCTCGACTTCGCCTTTGCTTGTGCGATGGCCTTTTAATAGTCACTGCTGTCGATCGCCAACGCCCTTGGTGTCCCGCCCGGCAGTAATACCCATATTGTCCTATGTGGCCAAAAAGCGTAACGACCACTAACTTACAGTGTTATTCGAAGGCAAATGTAATTTAATTTCACTCAGCATTCAACCATAAATATCTAGGCATGATAATTGGGTGTAATCTAGGTTACAAAGATCCCCTAAAATCACTTTTTAATTTCACAGTAATAAATCGTTCCTCACTCGCTAATAATAAAAGTATTTTATTTAAATTTTATGCACTGCTGAGATGCATTCAGGCATAGCGCCGGATTTAATGATTCCCAAAATATTTAAGGCATCAAAAATATACTTTTAGAAAATGTATTTTGACATAAATCCCTATAATTCACCCTAGAGATACATCCTTATACGAATAAAATTTGCAATTGTATTTGCAAAATTACCAACACAAACTCATTTGTTAACCCATAAAACATATTGAGACGTGTGTAAGCGATAAAATAAATTATAAAAATAATTTAACATAGCATTTAAGTTGTACCATAGATGAGTTTTTACACGCTTTATATTAGCTTCACTTGTATGTTTGTATGTTTGTTTGTAACCGACTCCTTTGGGCGTGATGTTGACTGACTTTAAACGGTCAGAATTCGTTCACACTTTGTAGATATATCGAGGACCGATGACAATACACTAAATAAAAATTTGTTTAAAAAAACTAAAAACAACTTAAAGAACAACATAAAAAGCGTGTTTTTTTATTTTTTTAAACTATTATTTTTTTAATATATTTTTTTAAAGTCAAATATTGTTGCTTTGATAAGAAACGTATAGATTTGTTAATTTAAATTTTGCCTTTCTGAAAACTTTTAAATCCGACAGCATATAATACAATTTACTTCCTTATCAATTATGCTATTTTAAAATTAAATTAAATGGATATAAAATGTTCACAGACTCAATGCAAATATTTGTAATTTATTGTCATATTTATCTTAAAATAGGATCGTACTTAGTGTTGTTAGTTGATGTGTGTTGATCGTAGTTAGTGACTAAAAGGCTCTAAGATTTTGTACATCCCTTAAACAAAATACACGTCATCAACTTTGTCTTAACACCATTCTGATCTTCACTCGTAAGTCAGAGTAATTCTTTTTTGGGCCCTGTCCTGCGATTAGTAGCTAAAGTAACATGTACCTGCAGAAATATACAATACCGATGTCCATGTCTCGTATTTATTCTTTTATAAGACAACTCCCGCATCAGGAATATATCCTGTGTCGCGGGGGACTTTACAAACATACATGAAACGGACACAAAGAACACCCAGACTCAGAACAACAATTTGTGGATCACACAAAGTGTCGTCCCATGTGGGGTTTGAACCCACACCACTCGCGCACTTAAACCACTACGTCATCCGTAAACATACATAAACATCATCGATCAGAATCAGCTGAAGGTGAAGTCTATTATCCAAAACTGTGAAAAGTAATCGTAGGAGAGCCAGATTCCGGCACATATGGGCTGCCGATACGGCTCGAAAGACCCAAGTGCGAGTTTATTTCACATCTACTCGATCGACACGGTGGCCGCACTGAAATATTATACAATCGCAACGCGCTCGCCGTCGAGAGTAAGTTGATGTAAAATAAACTCGAACTAGTCACCTTTCAACTACTGATGTAGGTATGTAACGTGAGCCCAAACCCTCTCTTCCCCCTCTTTCCCCCAAACTTTATTCTCATTAAGAATTACAAATTTACTTACATGAGAACACATTTTGAATGAGACAGACATTTGCCGAGCGGCGTGATACTAACGCAAATTAGAAACTAAGGTATACACAAGTAGCAAAGATATTTAATTGGTAAACAAATGAGGATAGCCGTGAACAAAATGTAACCATACATAATATACATAGTATCATTAAAATTAAAAACTTGCTCCACAAAGCGCCTAGCATACGAAAACCTGGTTGGCTCACCGTCGACTTGTAAGAAAAAGGCGCCACACAGGCCCACACTACAAGTGAACTTAGTGAGTTTTTTTAAGTAATTTATCTGAAACGCTGGAGAGGGGTGCCACTATCAAGTTTCTGCTCCGGTTCGAAAAAAATCGTAGATCCGGGGATGACTAGCGGCGGTAGTATTGTTCATTGAACTCATTAAAGTAATTGTCACGTTGTTGACTTTTGAAATGGCATACATATCATAGATGTCTTTTTCCACGGAGAGGTAGACAAAGGCGTAATATGCCTCACGTCACACTGTTTATGAAAACAGCTGACAGTGTCGACACGTCACGAACAAAATTTTAAACAACACGCCGCCGCGCGCCGGTTGCTTCTAATAAATAAAGAACACAAATGTTATGCCTGTGGTGATAATATATTGCAAGTTTTTTACTGCTTACGTTAATTAAATAAACGTGGTACATTAGTTATATAACTGATTAATTATGATAGTTTTAACTCACAACAAACTTATTAAATAAGTTAATAACATTATAATATTCTCACAATGGCGCCGGGATTGAGGATTTAAATCATTGTTAACTGACTTAAATTAAAAAATAAAATAAAGCATATAAGCCTATTTCTATTTGCAATTTATTTTAATTACGACTTACAAAACTATTTATTACTAGATAATAACTATGTAGGGCTGTTTTACAAATTCAATTGTTATATGACTAATATTATAAAAGCGAAAGTTTGTGTGTGTGTGTGTGTGTGTGTGTTTGTACGTTTGTTACTTCTCACGGTCAAACGGCTGGACCTATAGCTGACACCCTAGAATAACATATAGGCTACTATAAATCCCGAAAAAAATATTAGTATGTGTTCCCGTGGGATGAGCAAGGTACAACAACAGCCGCGAGGCGCAGCTGATTTTATATACCTGGAGAATTGACACAAACATAATTCGTACTTGAAAAACATTAATTTTTCAACATAGATCAGTATAAAATAAAGCAAAACTCACGAGATTATTGCGTTTATTAATACGAGTAAAAGTGACTAAAGAGTCCCGCCTTACCCTTCCCTAATTCATGACTGCGAAACTTATAGTTTTGTAGAGTAAAAAAAACATTGGAGCAATAAACTTTCATGCCTACTATAAAAACTAAATCTCCATAAAAATGAAATAGCAAAATTAAGATACTTAGAATTGCAGTTTACAACTATCGTCGCCGCTTTCACAAAGCAAAATTACCCGCCCATCGCAGCCTACCTAACCAACGTCTCATTAAATTCCTTTCGGGTTCTAAGAGAGTAACTTTCCCCGGTGATTACTCTTCGTGGTCGTTCGCTTTGATTATTGTCGGCGCAGGAGTCGAAGCAGTAAATTCACTATATAGTTCAAATTCAAACTACATGAGATTGCGTAGCGTAAACTGCACAGATGGCGTAGTGGTTTAAGCGGTCGCCCTTTCTACTGCACTGAGTGTTGTGGGTTCGATTCCCACATGAGATGAGTCCGGGTGTTCTTTGTTTCCGCTACATGTATGTTTGTAAAATACCTCGTCAAAGCTGTGAAAGCGTCGAAAAAAATTGCATCCGACTGCAGTTGGCCAGTAGGTTCCTTTCTGCTGTCGCTATGTGTGTCAGCTGTGTTATCACTATTACTACGAATGATTTAGACTCACACAAGCATAAAAAGTTGTTTTATAGTGCGACTCTCCATCTTGATATTCAAATGATGTTAGCTCTATATTGTTTATTATTTACTTCACATTTAAACATAAAATATTAAAAATAAGATACCACAGCGTCAACATCTCTGACAAATGATCGTGCCAACATTAAAAAAATGTAAAAACAAGTCGAAGAACCAGTATAACAAGAAGTGTTGAATTTCGATGATTAAGTGTGACAACCACATAACCTTCAAACTGCAATGAGGCTAGTCTATACATATATGATGATAATGAATCATCAAAGATATATCGCACCTTTATTCATAAACTGAATTAACTTAGAATTTCAATATTGTGGGAAATCGCATTTAAAGTTTGATATTCATGTACGTGCGAGTTCGTCAAAACTTTGATGTATCTCTGCCATTTTCATGGTATCGAGTCGGCTGTTGGATTGTTCATGTTCTACTGATGAAGTTGATTTGGTATTTGTTGAAAACTCAAAAAACGTAAATTTTGAATTAATTCAGTTTATTATTAAAGGTGCGATATTTGGATGGCTGTCTCGTATTACAATCTATTGAAATATTTTCTATAGGAAACCCTTTTCGATGTTACTTTAAGAACATCGTCCAATTATATATTAGGCAGATCCCGCTTGCCATTCAGGGACTAGCTGAGTAAGCTACGTTGAGTCCTCCTATTTCAGGGGCAACATAAGAATACGGAGTGTCACTACCCCTATTCATCCCGTGGGTGTCGTACAAGCCGACTAAGGGAGCGAACTACGCAGGACAACAGCACTTCAAAGAGAAAGAAAACTTAAAACAACTCGTCTGGCCAGTGTGGTATAGTAGACCAAAACCTCTTTTAAGGGGAGGTCTATGTCAAGTGACGACTATTAAAGGTGATGATGATAGTACACCACGTGGTTTTAGTCAGTCTCAATCCGACGTCAATCTCGGCATGAGATGCCTTCAACGGGTTCGGGGCAACCGGGGGAACGGGGACCCCGGCATATTGTGTGGTGTCAGTCGGCTCGAATCGGACAAAATCTTGACCTAACGTGACAACGGGTGTGAGTTAAAACATTATAAAAATATTTTTCTTCTTTGCATTTTAGTTACGGGCGTCGGACCGCGTTCTGCATATTCTCGGCATTTGCTGGATTTATGGGTATCATCAAGTCGTTTTCTCTAAATTATGAGATGTACCTCGCACTGGAGTTCCTAGAAGCAGCTCTTGGATACGGGTTTAACAGTGCCGCATATGTTTTAAGTAAGTTTAATTTATTTGATGTCTAACTTCCAACTCCTCAGAATGTCAGTGTATAGTAAATTATATTTACACGTCATTTTGATGTATGTCTGTATGAATGACTCGCCGACAATTATTGTATTCGTTTTTCATTATTGTAAGTTGAAACGGTACTTCATTTCTGGTTGACCATGAATGCGTGACGTATTTCTATGTATTAGATATATACATAGACATAAATAAAAGTTACTATAGTAGTACATACTTAGGTACTTAATATAATGTAGTTTAATTCACATACATTTAATGACTATACTATGTAGATATGTTTTTTAAATTTAATCGTATTCAGAGAGAGAGAGAGAGTATTACAATCGGCTAAGTAGTAATAGTAATCTCTAGCTGAAATAAACCAGGATTCTATTTTTTGGCGCCAAAGATGACAAGTTGAACCTATTCTCAAGGACTCTTAAAAATCACATTACACAGGTTTCATCACAATAATACTCGTATTACTAAAAAAGACGCCTAAAACATGAAATAATTTACGCTCTGACGGGTTCTGACAATGAAATACTGTTAAGTAATACCGCGCAGACAACGAGCGATAAAAAACTTTTGCAAAATTGACTGAATTTCCAATAACAAGATGTTAAACCATGATTTTTTGGGGGAAATATTATCCTTTCGAGTTTTGATATTACCGAGTTTCGAAAATCTATGCATAGCATACTTTTGGCCATAATAATACCAAAACCATACTTAGTTTTGACATCAGCTGTGTTCATAATCGCAATAAAATACGTAATCGTCTTTGAAGATATGTTGTAATGAATAGCGTTTATTTTTTTAATTAGATACTCATCTACTAATTACTACAATCAATTTGTAATTGCTTTTTAATTACATACTGTAAACAAAAAACTTTTCTATTGTTCAGTGTTAGAAATGGCCCACCCGTCTCTCCGTGGGGTCTTCGCATGTGCAACGGGTGTCGCCTATGGTGTGGGCGGCGTACTGTTCGCTTGGATCGCCTGGGGAGTGCCTTACTGGCGTCATCTGCTCTGGACGATCCATTCCTTGGCGTTGTTGTTGCCAATCTACTACATACTGCTCGATGAGAGTCCACGGTGGTTGCATTCGCAGGGAAATATCAAAAAGACTGATGCGATGATTAGGAAAGCGGCTGCGTGGAATAAGGTAATTTTATTTTATTTGCTGTTGGCCAGTTGATGACTCTGTTCTAGTGACTTTTCCAATCCCAGGACGGACTTACAGGTTAGCGCCAAAATCCGACCCAAAAATGTACTGTAATTACAGTCCCATCTCAAATCCCAGAATTTCGATGTAACTTACCCTGGTCACGCTATCCTTTTTCTTTAAAACAAATTAACCTCTTTCTTTTGTCCCTTCCTAAAACCATTACTTTCGTAAATAAGATTAGAAGAATTGAGAAATTGGTCGGAAAAAGGTAAGCATATATTTGATCTCTGCTAATTTGGAGCTGGTCGTGTGCCATCAGGGCTCGTAAAATAATAATAAAATATGAATATAGGAGCCAAACAATAAAAAAGTAAATGATTTAAAACCTTTTATTTATAGGTTATCGTAGATGAGGAGATAATGAAACGTCTCAACGAGGACGTGAAGAATGAAAGTGAGAATGAGAAACAGAGCCCTTGGAAGAGTCTTTTTCATTCGCGAGTCCTTTTGATCAGGTTCGCACTGTGCTGTTGGTGTTGGATAGCCAGCACATTCGTGTACTACGGGCTGACCATCAACTCTGTGTCCCTCTCTGGGAACAAGTACGTGAACTTTGCTCTCAACATGTCGATGGAGATCGCCGCCTCGCTGCTCATCATGATGGCTTTGGAGAGGATTGGGCGCAAGCTCTGTATATTCCTGGCGTTTCTTCTGTGTGGGGTTGCTTGTGTGTCACCCTTCTTTATAAGTAAGAAACCTTTATATTCTATACTAATATTAGAAAGCTTGTTGAGTTGATTTGGTTGAACACGCTAATCTCCTAGGGTTGGATAGCCCATTTATCGAGGATGGCTATAGGTTATAAAACTCCACGGTGCAACCAATAGGAACCGCGCATTCTGTTTTAATGGAAGAGGGGGCAAGCGAGCAGACGGGTCACTCGATGGAAAGTGACTACTGCAGCCTACACCGCCTGCAACCATGACTCCGGAAATCCCAAGCGCGTTACGGGCCTGAACAATGAAAAATGAATAAATGAGTGAAGTGTAGGTAGTATGTGGTTCGGCTAGTGTAGGTATGTACCCACACTAGCCGACCCACACAACTTCTCGACTCGACTTCGACTCATAATATACAGAACCTGGATGACCGATATTTTTTTTGGTGAATTTTCTAAACATGAAACCTAGCTAGATCGATTAAACGCCCCCGAAACCCCATACTAAATTTCATGAAAATCGTTGGAGCCGTTTCCGGGATTCAGATTATATATATATATATATATATCACTTGTTTAACACGCTGTTAACAAATCTCTACAACCAACATGCGTCTGTCACGAAAATTAAAATAAAGCGTCCTCCGACCTCTTTGTTAGGTATTCGAGAGGCAATGCACCGCAGTGACAAGGCTTATCGAAAATTTCGGCGAATCCGCTGCGACATTCAACTCCGTCAGTCACGATATCCTTCTGTCTATCCTGTCCTATCTCATGATTACGCCTGATACACTGGACTGGTTCTCGTCTTATCTTCAGGGGCGCCAACAGTCTGTCCGCGTCGATGAATCCTCTTCAGGTTGGCGTGAACTAGACTGTGACGTCTCTCATGGTCGCATTCTCTCTCCTCTATGAAGAGATGAAAGCGATGCTTGTACAGGCCCTTACTGTCCCCATCTTGGAATATGGTGATGTATACTATTATGACCTGATTGCAGATCTTCTCAATAAATATGACCGCCTTCTAAATAAATGCATTCGCTTCGTCTTCAACCTTCGAAAATACGATCATGTCTCCTCCTTTCGTCGCGAATTGAATTGGCTCACTATTCATCAGCGCCTTCAGCTGCGCGCCCTCACCACTCACTATTCCATTCTCAAACTCACGCATTTCCCCCTCCTACCTCACATCTTCATTCCAATTTCTGTGTTCCAACCACGATAGCACCCAACCGCCTCTCGTTCAAGATGAAAGTTCGAGCTCGCATTCTAGACACCCTAGAAGATTAATTACAACCTTAAAGTTTTATATATTATTAATATGTAGGTTTATGTATATATGTAACTAGGTAAGTATTTATATATGGTATGTATTTGGTACGTATGTATGTATGTATATTTATCGCATTGTTTCTGCTTAACTTATCAATAATTTTCTTTTATTTATTTATTTAATACCTAGGTTTAGGTTTAGTTCACATATCAATGTCTAGTATACCTAGTCACACATTTCAGCACCACGATAAGGTGGACTGGGAGAAAATGCCTGTGGCATTAAGTCCGCCATTGTACAACTCACACTTGTGCATAAAGAATAAAAATAAATAAATAAAATATACATATATACAAGAATTGCTCGTTTAGAGGTATTAGATGTATGTATATATTATGTAATTACACAATATAGTATCACCGACACCAACGCGACTGCATCATGATGAGTTGTATGCGTATGCGACTGCTGTGCTGAGGTCTCGGGTTCGATGCCCGGGTCGGACCAAATGTTTGTATAATCTCTTACTTAATTTTCCATCCTTAGGGGTTTTTTTGTCTTCATATTTGAATCAAACGGGAGCTAGAGCCTCCCAGATAAGAAAAAATCCATATCGGTAAATAAATCTGAAAATTATAAGAAAACAAATCTAAAAAAAATACAACCGAATTGGACAATCTCGATTTTTTCAAGTTGGTTTTACTTAACGTAAGATATTGCATCAAATTTCTAATTTTTTTTTATTTAATGAAAGGCACGCCAAATCTTTTTTTGCATCTTTACTAACGTGTATGCAAATTTCACGACAATTATGATTTGAAAGCGGAACAAATACACTCACTCGTACATAAATAATATTTATTAGGATTACATAAGATGTTATAGCCATAATAATATATGTATAACAGTGTAGCGAGCTCTCCACAATAAGTGTTTTCAAAGAGAAAGAAAAAGGTATTTATTCATAGACGCTTGAGATATACGAACAGTTTTATTACACAGTTGCAATAAAACTAAGCTACATAATTATTATAAGTGTTACATTATTTACATATACATCACGCGCCACCTGAATAGGATTTGTTTCAGTATTTGCTAAGCAATTAATATGAGTAATAACTGGAAACATCTCACACACGGCTTTCTGAACCTTTTTTTCTGTGTTGTATTCCCTTTGTGCTCCCGTAGGGGGAAGCATCCTTTCCCGGTGATCACTTGTGTCAGCCGGTACGCCGCGATAACGGCTGTCTGATCTTAAACTAAGCAGATAATGTACTATAATAATCAGACTACTGATAAATATTTTTATATGTTTTTAAATACAAACAAACTATAGATTAAAAACACATAGCAAATGATCGTGCTTATTACACAATTATTTGTCGTGTAGGGGAATCGAACTCACGACCTCTGCCTTAGCAGTGAGGATCACTAACTTTTATGGCACATTGTTTAAGGCACATTGATGTCTTGAGCTTGACCTATATGGGATTTAATCGGTTATGTTTTTTCAATATTCTTACAGAGCACTCTGGAACGAGTTTGGGCCTCTTCTTTGTGGGTAAGCTGGCCATCACGTTTGCGTTTAACTCTCTGTACGTGTTCACGGCGGAGCTGTATCCCACGTACGCGCGCAGCTCGGCGTTGGCTGCTAGCTCCTTGGTGGGGAGACTAGGATCTGTTCTAGCGCCGCAGACACCACTACTGGTATGTACTTATCACTGTCATCTCCACTATACGTGTACTGGGTAGTACGAAACCGTACAAAATCCTAGGAGAGCTAATAGGCCGGCTCGACCGGAGATACCACGGCGTCACAGAAAACCATTCCACCTTCCCAAAAAAATATTTATATATTCTTTTTTTTTTATTAACCAATTAGGTATATATCCTATGTCGCGGGGAACTTTACAAACATACACGAAACGGACACAAAGAACACCTAGACTCAGAACAACAATTTGTGGATCCGCTTAAACCACTACGCCATCCGTGCAGTCAATGATGATTTGATGTTGATTTTCTTATTTATATACTCCCTTTATAACAGAACAATTTCAATATAGGTATCTAGGTTTTAGTGTCAAATAACGTGTAACGTCGTTTCTCAAGTGACATTCCCGTTCCCAGAACATGTACGTGCAAGCCGTGCTGTACGGCGCGTGCTGCCTGAGCGCGGCGGTGGGCGTGCTGTTCATGCCCGAGACGCGCCACGCGCGCCTGCCGCAGCACGTGGACGACGCCGAGCGCATGCGAACCGACGAAGACAGGCTCAACGAAACCTTCAGTCAGCCTCCCCCTCAACTGCTGAGGCGGTACTTATCCGCTGACACGTGACGTCAACTATTGTCATTATTACTGTGAAACGTCAAAAGAGTGGAAGAAACTTGATGAGAGAAATGATAAACTGAAAGGATACGAGTAGTTATGTAAAGGAAATACATCGGCCGGTAGAGGATCGTTTTTTGAGAAACCTGCTGACGTTTGCTGAGACTTCGGTCACACTTAGGGTTGCCACTTATACTGTATATATATCGATCTATTTTTTAATAAATTGTACTATGTATTATAGAGCTGTAATATAATATAAATCGATAGATTAAAAACACATGATCACACAAATGATCGTGCTTAACGCACAAATCGAAAGAGATATTAGCATCGCTAATTACTTTAATTATACGTTATATTATCGCACAAAAGTAATAACTACATTTGTATTTCGTCCAAACAGTCTAGCACACTAACACAAGATGGCGTCTGGGTGGGGGAGGCCCCGCTGCGGCTGTTTGATTAATTACATTCCAGATTTGGACCGTATTCGTTATTTATTTTTTTAATTCGTAATATGTTATATTTACTCAATGTGACTACACACTACTTCAGTATATGTTGCATAGTCCCTTACACCCTGTATGTATTATAGTCCTCCTGTCTGGCAAAATATACAATAATGCAAATGAGACGAACAAAAGCTAATAGTTGTTGAATTTTTTAAAAGAACATACTTTATTACAAAAATGGTGGCAACCCTAATCTCACTACATGTCTGAAGGACCCAATTTGCAGACCTGTTTTTAAAAACATATAAATACGTTTGTATTTCGTTTTGTTCTGGCAATCACAGACTGGATTTCATAGCTAAACCCTTTTGATCCCAATTTTTTGTATAAAACTTGACTCGTACATAAGTTTGTGTGTAGGTACTGCAAAATTACGAGCTGGGAGAAGTTTCGCTTTTGTTATTTACGAGAATAGGTTAGGCTGTGGCTGAAAATTACCGATATCGGCTTATCGGTTCGACTTCAATCGTGGTGTGTCCTCTTATTACCCGGACTGCAGGACGTTGCAAAATCAATATACATAGGTGTATGTAACTTAAAAAGCAGCGAAATTTCACTACTATATTTAAAAAACAAAATTCGTGACTGCAGATTGGATAATCTAGAACTGGTATTTTTTTTGTTTTGATACCAATACAATCATCTAGAACAGAGCTGTCCAAACCACGGCCCGCATAATGTTTTTCATTTACCTTTAAATAAGAAAATATTGCCAATCTATTTAGTCATTTTTATTGCCCTAGATCGTATCTGGTTTGGTCAGACCTGACCTAGAACACGCCTGATCGGTAATGATAAATATCTTAATTTTAAATTCGTGTTTTTAGTATTTATTTTATATTGATTTTATGATCTGTGATAATAATGTACTTACTGGTCAAAGATAGACACAATATACATAAATTTATTATAAATAAATTAAAATGTTTTTTATACATCACTGCGTGCTTAAAATAAGAAAAAGTGTTGACAAAAAATCTTATTTGGTATTTAATTTTTAGCACCAGTTATTTTAAGAATATTATTATAAAATAGAAGTATGTAACCATTGATTTTGTAAAAGTAAAAAACTTTAAAAAAATCAATGGTCTCACAATTCTGACGTTAGGATGAATACAATGGACTATTGTATTTTATTTAATATGACAACACTAGTATTAATAGTTTTTAAAAATGTAAGTTGTCAAAATCGATTTCATTTTACTATGTACTTATAACATGCAGCAGAACAGTGCGTTAATTATAATTTCTATTTAAGATAATTTAATTGTTTAATTTTGGATATCCAAAAAGGATCACCGTGTACTCGGCGTACACGTCATACCAGGTATGGTCCTTCGTTACCCCAAGAATCCATAAAAGCCATGTATACTAAAATATTCTGGATACCCTTTCTCGTTACATTCGTTTTGAATGCAGTATTTGCAAACTCCCTGTATTTCAGAAACAATATTTTCATAAATTGCCTTCTCTTTTTACTTTTACCTACGTTTCCGATTATTTTGCTCTTTCATTTTTTTAATTTTCCTGAAGTTCCCAGTTTGTCCCCTCAAAGTCCGGGCAAGTGGGACTTAAATTATAGAAGGCTAATTGTGGATGTTTAATAATATGCCACTGCCTACCCCTTCGGGTATAGGCGTGAGTGTATGTATATATTTATTAATAAAGATGACTAAACGATTTTCCTATAAGTAGAAATATAATTACGAATTCTGTAAGGTATCATCAGCAATCATCATCAACAGCTTTTAATAGTCCACTGCTGGACATGGGACTCTCCTAAGAAAGGAGGTTTTGGCCTACTATACTACGCTGGCCAGACGGGTTGGTTTTTTTTGCAGTGCTGTTGTCCTGCTTAGTTTTCTTCCTGAGTCGGCTCTTACGATACCCACGGGATGAATAGGGGTGGTGACACTCCGTATTCTTAATCCGTCACCACACGGATCTTTAGGCCCGTCCGTCACCGGGCCGTTACTCCGCCATGACACTAAAACGACTAAAAAAAACCATGTGCCAAACTCTTACAGCATTAATAGAGCTCTAAGGCCATCCTACGCAATATTGTATTTAAAATAGGAGAGATCCACCACACGAATTCTGTTAGGTATAAATAAAACTATGTATAAATAAAAATAGTATTTAATATTTATTGAATACTAAAATGTAAAAATATTTTTTATTGCTCATTGTGTGTTCACAATATGTAAAGCAGCGTCCACACTATGCCGGAGTATGCCGGGCGAGGCCGGGCGGGCTGACCCGGGCGGCCTAAGCCGGGCGGGTTCGTTCGGGCCGGCACGACGTCCACACCGAAAACGAGGCCGCCCGGGTTATATCTACCTATTAGTTTCAATTCGACACCAAGACTGGACAACTAAAGCCGCCCGGTGCCGCTCGGCACGTCCCCACTACATATTTTCGTTCGGCTCGGGCCGGCATCCTTTGATCTGTACCTACTTTCTGCGGGTTGGGATCGGCTCGGCTCGGGCCGGCTTTTTAAGCCGCCCGGGGCGTCCACACCAACCCGGCTTAGGCCGCCCGGGTCAGCCCGCTCGGCCTCGCCCGGCATAGTGTGGACGCTGCTTTAGAAGTCCTACTAATTCTGCAGAATTTAGCATTTTATTATTTCTACAAGGCAACATTTCTGGAAGACTAAAATTTTGCGGCCGAAATTTTGCTAGACCACTAACTGAACTAATTTTAACATTGGATAAATACTATTGTACTTCTACGCTAAGTTATCATTTGTTCAGTTTTCATACTTTTTGATACATCTTGTGATTAATAGAATTTCAAAATAAAATATTAAAGGTTGCGAAACACTTTAATATTCTGTGTCATTGCAATAAGTTATATAAAAAAGTTTAGACATGTTATTTGTAATGTCTGACGTTCCCGTTCCCGCCGAAAATGTTACAAAAAGCAGATTATTTGACCTTGAAAGGCAATCACGCCAGACAAAATGCACCACGATGAGACTAGTTGATGTCAAGGCCTCAAATAGAAGCGTTTTAATTCCAATCTCTTTTTCGCTTCAATAACACTTATCTGTCGATGTTTCGTCCATTTATATACATTTTTAAATATTTCTTTCTACTCTAATAAAATTGATAACAGTTAGCCGCTAATAATTCGCCTTGTGATCACAAGCCCTAAGTCACATAATAGAAAAGTAAATAATAACGCAATTGCGATACGACAAATTTAAACATAGCATCATTTATGCGATGTTATATTTGTCTAAGTCTTATTTTAATCGTAACTATTATCTTTATTACAAAATATAAAACTAAACCCTGTACATTGAGGGTGTACTGCTAAAACCAACTAAGTGCAGTCAAGTTTTAGTCATGACGTTTCAAAAGTTGAAACGTGATAAAGTTATTTAAAATTATTTAATACTACAAGTTATGGCATATAATAGAAGAAATGAAGATTTTATATTGTTTTTATATTGTCATAGACTTCATAGAAATATATTTGAAGTCTATTTACAGCAAATTGCTTAGTAGGTAGTACAAGTTAGGGACCTAACTTGTACTAGGTACCTACTAAACAATTTAAGCCCAACTAAAATTTTCGTTTGAAACCTAAGTTGACAGCACTTAACTGGTTTCCGCAGTAAGCTCTCGATATATTCTCCATAGTATATTTGTAAATTAGGTACACAGAAGGTTATATTGCAAAGCCATAGAATTGCCTTGCCTATTAAGGGTTGGATCGCGATGCAGGAAATGCTGCAACTACTGAACTTCAAAAATATTCAGAAACTGAATATTTTTTAGGTGTTAATAAAACATTTGTATTAAAAAAATACCTGTTTGCCACATTCAAGATTTCTCCTGTGTTATTCCTAACTTAAAACTATAATATTTCTAACATCTTAGATACTATCTAAACTCAGTCTTATTACATTACTGATATCGTTGCTTATCATACTGGCAATAAAACATTATTCACTAACAACTGCGAGGTTGACATTCTAAATATTCTGTTTTGTTTACATTGCTATATTTTTTCACGACAAAATGGCGGCCAAATTGGCGGGAGTTCAATTAATTGAATTTTATTTGTTAAATGTATTTGGTATAATAATTTATATGATAGAATAATAATTATGAACGTTTAATTAATTAATATGAATTTAATACGTATCTACGTATTAAATAATTACTTATTAAAACTCTGAACTTCTGAAAACTTACAAAATCATTTTAATTGCTGTAAATAGCCATTCATATACAATATAAGTAGGTAATATTAATATGACTCTGATAGTAAACTTATTCCAATTAAAATTTACCCTAAATAACACAAAAACTTTCTACGAATTATAAGTAATATAAATATTCAATGGATAGTGTAATTATTATAACATTTAACAATTTATTTTCTATGTTGTAGAACATTAAAATTACCATTACAAACTCTTCAAAACTCAGTAGAATTTAAGACAGGGCAGAGATAAGGTGTATCGTCTATATGTAATATGTTCTTCAAATGTGCTAAATGTACATTGGTACAATTGTAGTCAAAAGATCTAGATATTAGGAGAAGAACTCCAATTCTTTAGTGTCAAATATTTCAAAAACACATTTTATAGGAATACTGTCATAATATAAATGAATCGCAAGATTTCTAACTTGACTTGAGTCATTTAAAAACAGCTATACAATGTTCATATCCTATGCTTATTCTAACGTCATTAGTGTTGGTAGGTAAGTATCTTAAAAAAAATGTGCGGCGTCATAGTTCCTAAACGGATTTCGAAAGCTTAATTTAGCTTTTCGTTCGAAAGCTGACTTCATAAAGCGTCCTTCGGTGATCAACAGTTTTTTTCTAACCGTTGGTGTATTTTAAATTATACATTTACAAGACGATGCTTCTCATCTCTGCCTTTTACGTCGAATACACCACAAAACATACAGTACGAGTAAGCATCACGACCGCAGAAGAAAGCGGGCGCTGGGCTACGGTCACGTGGGCTCGCCGCGCTTGTCCGCGGCGTTGAGCTCGCGCAGCTCGTGCGGCAGGGCGCGAGGCGAGGTGGGCGCGAGGGGCGGGGGCCGCAGGCGGCCGTACACCACGCGCAGCGCCACCAGCGCCGCCAGTGTCAGCGCCGCCGTGCTGCCGAACGTGGCGTCGGGCCCGCGACGCGCGTACACCGACGACACGAAGATCGGGCCCAGCGCGCGGGACAAACAGCCCGCCCCCGTCAGTATGCCCATCCATACACCCTGTTACGTAATCATCGGTTAAAAAGTGTGTATTTTTTTATATTAAGATGCAAAGATACCCTTATCCTTGCCCACGCCTTAAAAATTACGCCTAATCTACTGCTTATTGTCCTGATAAAGAAACATACGTTTAACATCCTTCCTCTCGCTTTTCAGCAAACTGTAGGGACTTTATGAAAAAAAAACGGAAGTGTGTAACAGGCTTACTTGCGCACTCTTTAGTCCAATAAAATTAAAAACAAAACAATGCTGGAATACACAGATAAATATAATAATACTCGTAAAGGTAGTAGTCTCGTTGGTTTTTTAAAATTCAAATTCATTTTATGTCTTTCCTCCAATAATTGTTATAATGTATATCTGTCAATTTATCTATGTAACCTAAAAAATATAGTAGTTATCGATATAATGATGGCGATAAGAAATGATGCAATGAAAGAAACCATACAAAACTGGCATCAATTTAACACAAACCGAACTAAAGAGTTAAAAAATGATTGACTATCCATACCTTCATTTTGAAATCAAGGTTTGGAAAGTGAAACATTTGTTAAACAGTTGATGGCATCAATTCAGCTCCAAGATGCTAAATTAGAATCATAGAGGTCGTGGGTTCGATTCCCACCCAAGACAAATAATTGTTCTGTGTCTGATTGGGGTTTATATGTAATATGTATGTATTTAGAAATATTTCAATATGTTTATCAGCAGTCTGGTTACCATAGCACAGGCTCTGCCTAGTTTGGGATCAGACTGCCTTGTGTGAAATTAACATTATTATTATTAAATTGCAGAAAAGCGATAGTAAAGATGTGACACCTCAATGAGTAAATTTCACTGCACTAAGATTACAAGACTTACAATAAATCTTACCAAAATTGTTGTACTTGTAAAGAAGACATATTTGTTCATGCTAATTTGGCGTCAAACAAGCCAGAATCCAACTTACCTGAGGACGTGGCCCGAGGACTTTGGAGAAAATAGTCTGTATAAGTGTAACTCCGAGGGAGTAACCAACAGAGATACAGATATAACCCGCCAGGAACTGCGGCACGTTGATTCCTCTCGATTCCGCACACCACGGCTGTGTTTCCTGAGGACATCCACCTCCCGCTTCAGTGGCGTTAGCTGGAGCGAGTGGAGGAGGTCCTGGACCCCAAGGAATGCAGAGTATTGATGCCATACCAGTTAACAGGAACCCACCCCATAGAAGTAAAGCGCTGGAAAGATATATACATATAGTTTATTATTAAAAACTATAATTTACAACAGGCTTACATAACACCACTCTATAAATTGTAGCAAAGAACTCCCATTTTTCGTAAAATCATTTATAGAAATAGCGAATGTAGCAACGACAAAATACAGATAATTTTAAGGACCCACTGAATTAATAATCTCCAGTTATATTCATCTTTAAGTTGCTTCTCTATCTTCTATCGCATGTAAGGCCGTGAGGGTTGCATTTCTATAGCTTTGGAAGTTCTTAGAAATTGTAAAAAACGCTAATTGAAATCCTTAAGGCGCCGAATACGATGCCATATGACTTTATTATAGAGAACTAATCTATCGAAAGTGCAAAAGCCCCCTACATAATTCTGACAAGTCGTGTTCGCCAGGTACTCGTGGCTTTAATTTATTTACATAATTATTTGCTTAACCCCATATAACCAAACCTTTCTCTGACATCCTATACAATTCATATTTTAAATATTCCATTCAATACTTAAAAACCTTAAAGCTAAATTGTGTGGGTTCGAACCCCATCCAGTACTCAACCGACGTAAACCCACTCCCGTCACAAGCATGTATCTCAGCTGGAGGGGGTTACCAAAAAAACTAGGCATACAAAACTAAGAGCAAGCAAAACGAGCAAGCGGGTCACCTTATGGTAAGTGACTACCGCCACCCATGGACACCTTTTTTTTTTGACGGGCTGAAAATCCCTCACGGGACGGGACTCAGGAGCACCCTTGGACTCAGGAGCCAGGAGTACATACTCCTGGCGGTGATTCCACTAAAAACCACCTCTACGCCCGGCCTCAGGTGCTCTAGTCTAAGAGGAGCCGGACCATGTTATTTCAGTTCCTCGCCATGGACCTCACCTCACCTCAAGAGTCATAAGTGCGTTGCCGCCATTTAAATTCCTCCCACTCACCTCACCCACTCGGTGTAAAACAACGGTGTAAAACATCGGTTTTCTGTGAGGCCCTGGTATCATCCGATATAGTTGACCCATACGCGCCGAAGCATGGGCCTCCCACCGATAATATACATATGTTATTCGTGTGGTGACGAATTAAGAATACCGAGTGTCACCACCCCTATTCATCCTGTGGGTGTCGTAAAGGAGTAAACTACGCAGGACAGCTGCACTGCAGAGAGAGGGAAAACTTGAAACAAACCCTATACCAACCCGTCGGGCCAGCGTGGTATAGTAGGAAAGAGCCCAATTTCTAAGGAGAGGCCTATGTCCAGCAGTGGACTGTGCTTATTAGTGGTCTTTAAGGAAATTGCTATTAGCTGTAACGTACCGTTCTTCAAATATCTTCGTGAGTGGTCCAATCGTAGCGAATGTAATACAGGCGACGACTGCTCCAACGCTCATTAATGCTCCCATGTATTCCAACGCCTGACGCTTGCTCCACGCAAACTGGTCCATGGTCAGTGACGTGGCCAATGTCTCCAGCAGTACGAAGTTAAATACCAGCACGAAGAATGCCAGCACTAGAGTCCAACTGCTCACCTTGTCTGGTTTTAACGCCTTCAAGGCTTCTTTCTCTGTAATTGAACAGTTTAAATTCTTTAACAACTGATAGAAAACCAAAAACGGATGGTCCTGTCGGTCTAGTTAGTGATTCTAACAACTTAAACAGAAGTCGTGATTGATTGTGTGATGAGCACGAGCATCTGTTCTGTGTCTGGGTGTATTTTATCAAGTATATGTATGTATTAAGAAATCTATAAGTAGGTTTATCAGCATTCTGGTTCACCACCATAGTACAGATTCTGCTTCAGTTTGGGATCAGAGGAACGTGTGTGAGATGTCTGTGTCAGTCATAGTCAAAGGAACCTTGCTTATGACAGGTACATTTATAAATAACAATGGATATAAAACTTTGATCGCATTGGATTGGATGAAAGGTACCCTATGTTTTTTCTGTATCCTGACTTGTAACAGTATACTGCTCTATGTATTCGAAAATAAAAAAGAGCCTTATAGTAGACGCATTATGATGTTTTACATCTGACGTTTTACCTACCATCTGACAGCAAGCAGTGCGCATTCATTGGTCAAATCAAATAGCGCCATTGGCCGTCGTCCTGCTACTTCCATCTCTTTTCAACCACAAATTTTGCGTTAAACATTCAAAACAAAATTCAAGTAAGGGAACAGACTTACCGGAATCAGTTCCTTGTGCAATCATAGCCTCTCTTGCGGCAATCTTCCTCTCTTTGAAACACCAGGGAAGAAAGAGAAGAAAGTTCACAAAGCCAAGTACCGCATTGATCCATCCAGCTGCTGTATACATATCTAACCGGAGGGGTACTGAGTAATCTCCTGGAGGAGGGTACGGCGGTCCTGGGCCCAGAGGAGCGGCGGCAGCCTGCAGCGCGGGACCTACAACGAAGCCCAGCACCTGTGCCAGGGACACGATGGCTACGGCGCGAGTACGTTCTGAGACTAACGTTGCTGATGATAAGTAGGAACGGGCCACTGCAACGTTAGCTGCAATAAATAAATGTTATGTTAGTTTCAGAGAAAATACAGTCATATTTTATTTTATAAGTACAACTCCCGTACTAGGAATAACTCCTGCGTCGCGGGGACTTCAGAAACATACAAAAAACAATTTTTGGATCACACAAAGTGTATGTGGGGATTGAACCCACAACACTCAGCGCAGTAGGCGTCCAGTCCAATAATGTGTGTGTAAAAAGAAGGAGGAGGAAAAAGAATGAGGATTCTGCTGGTTTTTTCGTCTGTTACCTCAGAACTCCGCCATTACTTGCAAAGATTACTGCCCGTACGATCCTATTTGAATATACTTACCAATACCTGAATACTTTTTAAAATTAATTATTAATCTTTTGGCCCATCATGTAACCATCTTTTATCATTATAATTTGTTTTCTATTGAAAAGATTTATTGCATAGTTTCCTCGATTTTGTAGTATTGCATCTAATTGTGATTACCTTCTTCCATGAAAGACGTAGTAGAGATAAGACAAGCCTTGGCAATAATGGGCCGACTCGAACGAAATAACAGAAAACCGGTGTTTAAATAATTCTTTCGTTGTTTTTCAATGATGTTACCGGAACCTAAACCTTTCCTTTAGCTGATTCTGGGAACGGGAACTTCAAAGGGTCCCCTTTGAAATCTGAAGTCTTTGAAGTCTGTGACTCTTAGTCTCTGACTCTGACTCTTAAACAAAATAAAGATATGAAGAACACTTACCAGAGCTAACACCAACAAGAAACCTCGCGAACACCATCCAGTATTTTGCGTAGGGTCGCGTGAGGTGTAATTGAGCATACAGCGTGCTAGCGACTACGAACAGCGCCAACGTGGTGAGAAGTGGTACGCGCACCGACCCTGCACGATTTGCCCACAATCCCAATAGTGGAGAAAATAGCAACTGGCCCAAAGGATTTGCGCCTACTGCAACTCCCAGGATCTCTTTCTTTGACCCAGGTTCTAACTGTAATCAGACATATTAAACTTCGTTACATAAGAGAAAGAGAGTTAAGAAATAGAGTACATAGATAACAATAATAACTTCACACATTTTACACACGGCAGTCTGATTCAAACCAGGCAGAGCCTGTGCTATGGTAACCAGACAGATCGATAGGTACTGTACGAGCAAGCGCAGGCCTGAGGGTGACAGGTGAGGCCATCTGTCACTCTAGCAGAAGCAGGCCAGGGTGGGTGGTGGCGCTACGCGCTACAGAGCGCGCACGCCCTTCGTGGGCAGGAAGGGAACATCCGGGTTCCCACACAGGAGGGGTCATCTTGAGCCGTAGATGGCCCGAGGTACGTCGGGGTACCAGGACTTTCCTTTCTAGGGTATACCTGTTTCCCCGGCTACTGGTACCTGGAGACGGCGTGCGGTTTGGTCGGTTCGAGTCCGACATACTCACCCACTGGTGGGTGGTATCCCAGGGGAGTTCCGCACAGAAAAAAAAAACTGTACTGTAATTAGCTTGCGTTCAAGCATTTGTATTGCACTGGTATTCCATAGGCACTAACCTTACATACTTAATTTTTGTACATAATTTAGCAGCAATAAAATCATCATTCGGTAAAGTTGTCTACTCATTTATTAAACTAGCAACCTATCAGTAATCTTAGAGGGAAACTACCCCTAAAGGGACTCTTTATAGGACACCATAAAAAGGAAGCATGCCCCGAGGTACGTCGGGTACCAGGGATTTCCTTTCTAGGGTACACCTTGTTCCCGGGCTACTGGTTCCTGGTGGATACAGCTAGTGTAGAGTAAAAAAATAAACAGCAGTACAATATGCAGCTTTATAGCAGTCCTCGATCTCTTACAGGCAACTTGTAGGTGGAGAATACTGTACAGCAATATGTAGAGTAGGTGCCCACTTAATATTAAAGACTTATTTTAACGAGTACTAGCTTTTAATCGCAGATCCAAACTCATTTGTGAAGGGTGTTTTTAACCGGACAATCGTCTTAAAGTTACTTTTTATTCCTGGGGAATAGTATTGTGGCGACTTCCAGATACAGCGAAACAAAAACATTCATCAGAGCCATCTAACGAAAACACACCGGAGTACGGAGTAACTGCTTATACTGTAAAGCCATATGAAAAGTTCTCACGCGGTTTGGCATACCTACATGGCTTATTCTTCGATCTTTTTACTTCTATCCGTACTGTGTCATTGTTCTCAACATAATAATCTTAATAAAATAAATTTATCTGTTAAATAAACTGAATATATTTTAATTCTTGTCATATTGTCATGTACTTGATTCGAATAATTGAGTATTTTAGAACAACTACTAACAGTGAACTTAAATTCTAAATGACGCAGGAAAATAAAGAATTAAAAATAACGAATATTTACACAAACAGCTTCCCAACATCAAAAGTTGCCCATGATCACGTAGCCTGGTAGGAGAATCCCTCCTTTATGTTGGAGGATATGACACCCGTTCCTTCATACCCTCATTTCAACGTCCCTTTCTGTACCCTACACAAAGTAATTTGAATTGTATGAAGATCGGTATAGCAGTTAAAGAGGGAAGAGCAACAACCATACCTGTAAGTATTAAGATTTCTAAACTTCTTGTGTTGTGTGTTGCCTAGTTTTTTTTTTCACAAGTTTTAAATTTAAAAAAATATAGTTTTAAATGTGTTAATTTGCTACAAATCTCTTAGATTATTGCATAATTTAAGTGAATTCATACTTATTTTATAAAATATGTGAAATTGAGTTTGTTTGTTTATAAAACACTAACTAAACCACTTAACCGATTGTTAAAATTCTTTCACCAATAGAAAACTATATTATCAGCAAGTAATAGGCTCAGCCGCAAGAAAAACATAGTACAATATAATTAGCTATATTGATTAGCAAACTACAACAGAACTCAGAAAACATTTAAACCAGAGACACGCCAGTCATGCATAATAAATTTAGAATATTAGTGTCGTATACATACATATGTAATGTAAATATTACATATGTATTAGGTACTGGTTGACCTAAAAGACCGGGTCGTGTTTCTTTATATGCACATGCAATGCCTTATTTGATTTGTTTCATTACTTAAAAACCTACAGAAAAAACTTCCCTATCTTCCATTTTCTAAACACTCATCGCACAAAACAATTATCTATAGAGACTAAAATTATAAAACTGAACACTATGTTCGTTGGAACGTGCCTCATTTTTCACAACTAATCTCTTTTTTTTTTTTAATGAAACTTTTTAGAAGCGTTGTGATTTGAAACTCGATGAAACGAAAATGCGTCACGATAAAGAAACAAACATAAATGTCTAGGATTAAGTCGGCGAGGGAATGAGATAGAATACATTACACGTTATTTTTATTTTAATATTTTGACAGTGTGAGTATTTTTATCTTTTTTTTTAATACTAGCTGGTACCCGCGACTTCGTTCGCGTGGAATGTGAAAAACGCTGCCTTAGTGGGTTCGATTCTCGGGCCAACATTTTATAGGTTAGGTTTACTTCTGTCGTGTGAAAACACACACTTTTTTTAATACTTTTTTTTCTAATTCTTTTTTATGATATTATGGTTTTTAACTTTGTTAATTTTGTTAAAAATTGCTATAATTTCACTATTAATAATATAATCTAGTCTGCTAATCTAGTAAAGTGCATAAGTTTCTAGTTGTATGTATAAAGTCAAGTTGCTATTTCCAAATTTTTTTAGTAATTATGTTGTCTATATGTGAATGTTGTGCATATCTGTGCATATCACGTGAACTTAGTTAAAAACAATTATGTGCATTAATGTTTATGTTTATTCTGTAGATATGCCTTAATAAATAACTAAATCTCAGGAACTACTTTTACAAATTGAAACATTATCTTAGTGTTGTATCCAACACTAAGATAATGTTTAGACTAGGTTTAGGTTAGGATATGTAATAGGCTATCCTATTTATCGAGGAAGGCTATATAAGGCTATATAACATCTCGCTACGACCAAACGGAAAACAGTGACTGCACGGAGTGACGACACGGAAAGTGGTTTAAGCGGTCGCCACGACACTTTGTGTGATCCAGAAATTGTTGTTGTGGGTGTTCTTTGTGTCCGTTTCATGTATGTTTGTAAAGTCCCCCGCGACACAGGAATATATTACTAATGCGGGAGTTGTCTTTAAAAAAAACATGTAAAATAGAATCCAATAATCAATGAAAAATGTTACAAAAACCGGAAAAAAATATTCCTTTTGGGAGACGCAGGCGAAGTTGGGCAGCTGGTCCTAAAATGACAATAATAGTCAAATTCCTCCATGTCATTCTTAAAATTCTTTATTTTTGTTTAAATTAACTTTGTGTTAACTATTTGTGTCGGTGAATAAAAGCTCTAAGTAACATTAAAATTTACCTGTACAAGTAGGCAAGTGACCTTTATAGTGGGATGCAATTGCTTTAAAAACATAATGACGGTAAAGTATGCAAATCTTTATCTATCAAGAAAAGAGCGTACTTCTTAACCCGTCTGCTTGTGTTTTGTCCACAAAAAAACTACAACGCTCAAAGTCAAAGTCTCTACATGTCAGGATAATTTTCCTGTCAAGTTCCTAATTTAATTGGTGATGGGTTTAACGTGTAAAAATACAAGGGGTTGAGACGGCACCTAGGAAGAAGGTGACTTGGAGTAAGCAAAACGGATGTAGAAGAGGCAGCCAGTGCACGGCATTTCTTAAACAAGGGGTAAACGAACACACGGGTCACCTGATAGTAAGTGACTACCGTCGCCCATGGACATCTGCAACTGTCCCTCCCTCCCATAATTAGAGGCCCTTTCCTTCTAGTTCTCTTTGAAAATCAACGAAAGGATTGGGTAATACTGGTTTTCTACGAGGCCGTGGCATCACTCCGGTCGAGCCGACCCATTTGCGCCAAAGCATGAATCTCCCACGTTTATACCGCAAGTCTCATGCGGGAAAGGAGACTGATACTACAGTAGTTTGAAGTCGGCGTTACGAAGCCGTATATAATAATCATTATTTATTGTTTCTCTCACACAGTACAGCAATACATTAGGCAAAACAAAACAAACATACATACATTAGACACATTGCTATGCTTGTATGTGAGAGACCGGTATCTGTACTAGGATAGGCCTATATGACAGATTACCAGCCTCTCCCAGCTCATAACAGCTACTACCTAGTGGCATACATAGTAGTGTTCGTATATAAATTAGTGTGTGTGTTTTTGTGAGGGTGTGTATGTGTGGGCTTGCGTGTGTGTGTCTGTGTTTGTGTATTGTATATATAGCGTAAATGCGCATATATGCGTGCGTGGGTGAGTGTTTGAGTAAGATTGGATATGAATAGCAAAAATTTAGACAGAGTGTGTACATGTACACTCGTATCGCCTTTGATATAAGATGATAGAGGGATATGAACCCGTCACATCTTTTTTAATAAATAAAAAGAACTACAATCTAAAAAAGGTGTCTTAATGCACCAATGATATATTATCGTACTTTCAACTTTAAACTCGTTCGGTAAGTTGACAGCTAAGGGAAATGATTTTTACAGTAAGTCAACAACAGAAACATTGATAGTACTATCTGATGATAAGCAGTTACTTAACCTATAAAAACTGATATAGTTTAGTTAACTTATCTAAAAATATTTATGATCATTAGTTTCCACGATTTGTCATAATTATGTCCTTTTATTGCGCAAACCCCCTCGGATTTCATCCACCGGTGGTTATGTCGAACTCAACCCGACAAAAAACCGCACGCCGTCTCGGGTACCAGTAGCCGGGGAACCAGGTGAACTTTTATTGGAAAATATTATTGCTTTGGTAAAACTTCTACATTACTTAGTACTCCATATGAATTGACACGTTCCAAATTTTTTTAATAAGTGACTGGCTGTATTGCAACAGCTGTATTACAACAGCTTAGTTGCAGGCTGTTAGTGGATTCCTGTTTTATACTGTTGCTTCAAAATATT